GGGGAGGGGGTGAGGAGGAGGGGGAGGAGGAGGAGGAGGAGAGGAGGAGGAGGAGGAGGAGGAGGAGGAGGAGGAGAGAGGATAGCAGGAGGAGCAGGAGGAGGAGGAGGAGGGAGAAAACGAGGAGAGAGACCAGTTGGAGGAGGGAGGAGGATGAGGATGATGTGATGATGATGATGATGATGATGATGATGATGATGATGATGATGATGATGATGAGGAGGAGGAGGAGGAGGAGGAGGAGGAGGAGGAGGAGGAGGATCAGGAGGAGGAGGAGGACGAGGGAGAGAGACCAGTTGGAGGAGGATGATGATGGTGATGATGATGGTGAGGAGGAATGGAGGAGGAGGAGGAGGAGGGGGGGGAGTAGGAGGAGGAGGAGGGGAGGAGGAGGAGGAGGAGGGAGTAGGAGGAGGAGGGGGAGGAGGAGGAGGAGAGGAGGAGGGAGGAGGAGGGCTCGAGGCTCCTGCATCAGAGGCGCGCGCCTCCTCGCCGCAGGATCTCCTGAGTCCGCTGAGGGCCCGCGCCGTGAGCGTCGTCGCGGTGGGGGCCAGCGGGCGGAGGGGGAGGCGACTGGCCCGCCGATGACGAGCAGAAGGGGATCGGATCGGGCCGGACGTCCGCGAATGAGTTTCGGTGGAGCTGCTGTCGGGAGCGCGTCGCCGCCCCATCGTGAGGGGGAGGCGGAGGAGGAGGAGAAGGAGGGAAACCAGAAAGTAGAGGAGGGGGCGGCGGCGGAGGAGGAGGAGGAGGAGGAAGAGGAGGAGGAGGAGGAAGAGGAGGAGGAGGAGGAGACGGAGGAGGGAACCCAGAAAGTAGAGGAGGAGGCGGCGGCGGCGGCGGACGACCAGAGTAAACCCAATACTCGTCAGCGATGTGGGTGGGAGTAGGCCCTTTTTCCAAGCTCCCTCTTCTTAGGCTCCTGCAAGGATTCACTTCCACCGGGGGAAGTGTCTTGTTGGGAGACAACCGTTGGAACATCCTGATGCGTGCCAAAACACCATTCTCGGGACTCCAACGCCACGAATCAAACTGACTGTTGCGTCTTGGCGATCCTGACTCGTGCTAGGGCACCATTCCTGGGACTTCAACACTGCGATTTAGCGTAACTGCTGAGCCTTGGCAGTCCAGAATCGCTTCAAAACACAATTTCTAGGAAGCTAGCTATGAGAATCCGTGAAACTCGTGTTGTGCGGTGCTTTGGCGAGAGCTTCATCTAGGAAACGACCCGCCCTCAATCCGTGAAGCCCCTGCAGTTTTTTAAGACGAGTGTGCGCGGCGCTAAGACGAGAGCCACATTTTGAAAACGACCCGTCCTCAATCCGCACCGTTTTTGAAACGATTTTGCGCGGTGCTACCGCCCTCAAACCGTGAAGCTCGTGCATTTTTTTGCGACGGATGTAAGCGGCGCGAAGGCGAGAGCCACATTTGGGAAGCTGCCTGCCCTCCAACTGTAAAACTGTTGCCGCTTTTTAGGCTTCAGAGCCATAAATGGCGAGGAAGTCGCAGGCGAAACGCCCAGCCCGCCTTTTCGACTGGCCTCGGGGTGGGACAGGGAGGAGTTGTTTATCAGGAGGAGGAATGGAGGAGGAGGAGGAGGAGGAGGAGGAGGAGGAGGAGGAGGATGAGGTTGAAGACGGGCAGGAGCTGGAAAAGGATGGTGGAGGGGGAGCTGGACGTCTCCTTCGTCGCGGCCTCGGCGACGCTCAGTGGGCGTGCGGCGTTGTCCTGACCCGGCGGCTGTCTCAGGAGGAGGCTTCATTCTGGTATCGCCGAGCGCGTTCCACTGCTCGCAAAGTGCCTACTCGCAAACGTGCGAAATGTACAGGTCTTCCTCTATGTGATCTATCGTGGATCCCTCGCGGCGGATCCAGGCAGTTTGCGAGCAGTTGATCTGCGAGTAGGGGAACGCGCCTGGCCATGCTATGGGTAGCTTCGGCCGGAAGAGGTGCGCTCTCGACCCGCGAATCCAAAAAACTGTTCATGGTATGGGGGGCCTAAAATATTCGACCCCTGCGCCGAGGAGGCCTCGCAGCGTGGCGGTGCCTGCGCCGTCGCCTGCGGGACGCCAGGGGGGGGGGCCCTGCCCGCAGCAGGGCCTCCCGGAACGCGCCTGGCAATGATGGGCTGCTTTTCCACCACCACCACCGCCGTAAGCTGGAGGAGGGAGGAGGTCCTCCTCCTCCTCCTCCTCCTCCTCCTCCTCCTCCTCCTCCTCCTCTTCGTCCTCCTCCTCGTCGTCCTGTGGGCCCCAAAAAACTTCGACCCCTGCGCCGAGGAGGCCTCGCAGCGTGGCGGTGCCTGCGCCGTCGCCTGCGGGACGCCGGGGGGGGGGGCCCCTGCCCGCAGCAGGGCCCCCCCCCGAGCGGCGGGCCCCGCCGCGGCCCCCTGCGGCCCCTGAGCCCAGACGTGCTCGCGCCGTGTCGGGAGGGAAAGAAGCACACAGACACCATTCATCGTCGACTCCCAGGAGAATGCGGGGACATGTGGGAAAATATGGGAAATGGGGGGGGGGGAGACGAAAACCCAGAACATGTGGGGAATCCCGCTACTCGTGCGCCTTGATTTGCGTGTCCTGGGGCCTCTTGATCGTGAAGCCATCGAGACGCCAGGCTTCTGGCCGCTTTCCGGCCTCCGGGGGACGTGGCCGTGAGCCAGACGGCACGCGATGGGAACCTGTCCCCCGGGGAGGCCGTCGGGGCTTTTGGGGGGCCGAGATGGAAGAATTAAGACCTCGGGTGCTTGGGGGTGCGGAGTGCAGGGGCCTCCGGTGGCCTCCCACGGCAAGATTTGGGAACGCCCCGAGCGCTTCCGGGATGCCCCTGCGACCCGGCGCGGCGCCCGGTGTCTGGGCGTTGCAGCTTGTTTTGCATAGGGCGTCGTCGCCCAGCTTCGGGCCGTGCGGCCCTCACGCGAAGATCTGCACCGAGAGCCGCCGCAAGAAAGTGGGGGGCTCTCGGTCCTTCCGTCCTTCCGTCTGTCGGCCCGTCGCCATCATGCCCGTTTCTGCCCCTTGCCTGGCCCGCGTTTCTCTGTCGGCCCGTCCCGGAGTCCGAACAGGAGCCGCGGCGCCCCGCACTGCAACGCTGGCGTATCGCCTCACTGATTTGCTCCACGCGTGCGCTGGGGGGCTCTCCAGCCGTGACCTTTAGCATGTCGCGCACGCTTTGCGCAGGGCCGGACCTCCGGGGACAGGCCGTGCGTCTTCTCGGAGGTTGCGCTGCGTGCGGCGGCAGGCAGAGTGGGCGCGGCGGATGGGAGGAGGCGGCGAGGCTGGGGGGCCACATGCGAACCCTACCCCCACCCCCCACGATTTCTGAGGGGGAGGGTGGGGTTCACTTCGCTCGGAAGCTCCCAAGCGAAGTGAACCACACCCTCCCCTCCAGAAATCGTGGGGGGTAGGGGTAGGGTTCGCATGTGGCCCCCTAGAGGCGGAGCGAGCAGACTGCAGAGCGAGCTCTGCTCTCTGCTCCGCGCCTTCTGCTGCGCGACCCGCTGCTGGGGCGCGCGCGGGTCTGCCGCTCGACGCACGGGGCTCACAGAACCGAGCGCGCGAGGGGGCGACCTGTGGTGGCGTTGGGCTCTTCGGCCCCCCGCCAACCCCAACAAAAGAAGAAGGACGACAACAAAGAGAAAGAATCGAGGGCGTGACCCCCCCAAAAAAAAGAAGAACGAAGACAGAAATAGAGAATCGAGGGCGCGAAGGGGGGCCCGCCTCCCGCTGTCTGCGTGCGGAGCGACCCCCGCGCCGCTGCCAGCCCCCGCTGCAGGGGGCGGTGCCGCGCGCCCCCCACCTCCTCTTCCTCCACCTCCTCCTCCTCCTCCTCCACCTCCTCTTCCTCCACCTCCTCCTCCTCCTCCTCCTCCTCCTCCTCCTCCACCTCCTCCTCCTCCTCCTCCACCTCCTCCTCCTCCTCCTCCTCCTCCTCCGCGTCCTCCTCCTCCTCGTCCTCCTCCTCGTCCTCCTCCTCTTCCTCGTCCTCCACCTCCTTCCTCCCTCCAATTTATGGTGGTGGTGGTGGTGGTGGTGGTTCAAGACGAGGTGGAGGAGGAGGAGGAGGAGGAGGAGAGAGGGAGGAGGAGGAGGAGGAGGAGGAGGAGGAGGAGGAGGAGGAGGAGGAGGAGGAGGTGGAGGTGGAGGAGGGAGGAGGAGGAGGAGGTGAGGAGGAGGGTGGAGGAGGAGGGAGGAGGTGGAGGTGGGGAGGAGGAGGAGGTGGTGGAGGAGGAGGAAGAGGACCCCCCCTCCCCCCCCCAACTTGTGGTGGTGGTGGTGGTGGAGAGCAGGCCCTCTGTTTGGATTCGGGGCGTGGCCTTTGGCTCCCCGTCGGCGGTTTCGCCCGGGCTCCGCCGGCCTGCGACGCCGGGCCGCGGCGGCGCGGCGTGGCCGTCGCGAGGAGGCCCGGGCCGAAGGAGCCACTCAGAGGCGACGAGAGGGGCGAACGGCCCAGGGGAGAGCAGTACGCGTATGCAGGTGCGCTTCTCTTGCACTTCGATTTCGGCACCGCCTGATCCCAGGGCTGTGTCCTCTCTTGGCCTTGACGTGAGGCCCCGCCTTCTTTTGCCCCCCCCCCCTGCAAGTGAAAGCTGTGCGCGGCCCGCTTAGCTTCTATCGGAATAGGCTCGCTCTCGACCCGCGGATCAAGAATGTATTCAGGTGCGCCGATGATCTTTGTCTTCGAGAAGGCTCCCGGGCGAATGCGTGTGATGCCCGCCCCTGGGCTATTCGCCCCTATCGTCGCCGCCGAGCCACCTCGCGAAGCTGAGGCCGTTCGAGCAGCCAGCCTCGCTTGACCGACCCCTATCCTTAAGTCGGTCCTGTCCCTCTACAGGAGGCGTATTCGGAGGTAGTCAAAAATAGTCTGGGGACGATGGTTCATTATTTTTAAACTATGTTGGATACTTTTTTTTCTCCTCAAGAATCCGCCTGTAGGGGGACACGCCCGACTTAACCCTATCCCCTTCTCCATCCCCGTCCAGATCCCAACCATCCCACCACCCTAGTTGGGGATATGCCCCTCGAAGCTCGAAGGGAACAGCCTACAGTACCCATCTGGGGGGATAAATCAGCAACGATGCTCAAGCAGAAAAAAAGTGTTCCACAGATTCTGGCCTTGTCGCCTGATCGCTTCCGCTGAGCTTCGGAGGCCTCAGGAGGTTTCTCAAGATCGCCCAACAGAGCTCCCCAATAGGGGCTGGGATTCCAACCCCAGGTTGCTTCGAGGGCCGCCGAAAACGATACAGGAAGACTCGTGAGGCGACTGTTCGGTCTCCAAGCAGGTGACCCTGACGTGGGGGCTCCCTGGGAGGGCCTCGAGGGCCCTTTGGGGGCAGTCTGGGGGCGGTCTTCCCGGACCCCCGACGTCGTGTTTTTTTCGCAGCGTCGACCCCCAGAGGTCTAGACCCCTTCTCCGGGACCGGTTTTTCATCCCGAGTCGTCTGCTGACGGTCCCGAGGCCCGGGAAGGGCCCCCCGGGGCCAAAAATAGCGAGAAACCTCCCGTCGTGATTTCTGCACAGCGCGAGGGGGTCCCGGCTGGGCCGCCTCGAGCGACCGCTGTCAGCTGGCGCTGCACTGGCTGCTGCCAGCCGCTGCAGCTGCTGCTGGTGCCTGGCGCTTCCTGGCCCGCCCACTTCGACAGACCCCGGGCACGCCCCGTGCCCCGTAGGGGAGCCCCAAGGGCGGGGGGCCCCCAAACGGGGTGGTGACCACACCGCGTGGTGAGTCGGTGGGGATTCGGGGTCACCGCACCGTTTTGGGACTCGGGTCGTTCTCCGAGGACGCCTCGGGCGACTGGGGCATCCGAGGTCCCAAGGCCGTGCGGTGACGGACCGTGCAGTGAGGTCTTGGGGGATCTCGAGGTCACCGCGCGGTCTGTCGCCGCACCGTTTCGGGACTCCAGAGGTCAGGGGGGAGGACCGAGCGCGGTGGGATGTTCGACGCTGCTCCTCCTCGCTCGAGCCGCTGGACCGCTCGACCCCCCCCCCCCGGAGGCCCCCAGCGGGCGCTGGAGGCTTCCAGAGGCTTCCGGACGCCTCGAGCGCCACAGAGACGCCCCTCACGAAACGCAGCAACATCGTCAAGGAACTCGACCGGAGCCCTTGACCCCATACTTCTGCGGCATCCTCCGAGCCGCACGGATCCGAGAGGGTCCCGGGTCCCGGGGCCCGAGTCGAGGAAATACCGGATGTTTTGAACAGACTGCGACGCGAAGATCCCAGGGTTACGAGCCTCGATGCTCGAACCTCGTCGTCGCCGCCGCCGCCGCCGCCGTCGTCGTCGCCGCCGCCGCCGCCGCCGACGTCGTCGTCGTTGTCGTCGTCGTCGTCGTCCTCGTCGTCCTCGTCGTCGTCGTCGTCGTCCTCGTCCTCGTCCTCGTCCTCGTCCTCGTCCTCGTCCTCGTCCTCGTCCTCGTCGTCCTCGTCCTCGTCCTCGTCCTCGTCCTCGTCCTCGTCGTCCTCGTCGTCGTCGTCCTCGTCCTCGCCCTCGTCCTCCTCCCCGTCCTCGCCCTCCTCGTCCTGCTCGTGGTGCTCGCCCTCGGCCCGCCGGCCCCGCTGCTCAGCCCTGCTCGCCGGCGGCGGGCGGGGGGGGCAGGTGCTGCTCCTCGTGGCGGGCTGCCTGGCGCTCGCGTCGGCGGCGGCCCGCGAGCCGGTGCCGCGGGCGGGGCCTCCGAGGGGAGCGGGGGTCGGGAGGTTCGGAGGATCGAGGAAGCGAGGAGCGAGGGTGGAGGATCGAGGGGGTCGAAGGGCGAGGATCGGGATCGGGGATGGAGCGAGGAGCGAGGATGGAGCGAGGATCGGGGAGCGGGGATCGGGAGGTTCGAAGGTCGAGGATCGAGGAGCGAGGATGGAGGATCGAGAGGGTCGAAGGGCGAGGATCGAGGAAGCGAGGATCGAGGATCGAGGATCGAGGGGGGAGGAGGGGAAGGGGGTGGGGGATGAGGGGGAGGAGGGGGAGGAGGAGGAGGAGGAGGAGGAGGAGGAGGAGGAGGAGGAGGAGGAGGAGGAGGAGGCCCCCAGTGCTTTACCGACGAACAGCCCGATGCCTGCCTGGCCGACCCTTCTTTTCGACGCTCAGCCCTCCTCGAGGATCGGGGCTTCGTAGATGAGGGGTCGTCCCGAGGTGTGGTTGGGGAACTCTAGGCCTCCTGGATGGGGTCGGAGTAGAGTCGGTCGGAGGATCGCACCGCATCGCCGATGCGTCGCCGATGCCGCATCGGCGGCTCGATGTGGAGCCCGATTTGCTTCACGTCGACGTTGCCGATTCATTGCGGATGCATCGGCGATGCGGCGCGATCCTCCGACCACATCTACCCCGTCCCTGTCTAAGAGGCCCCTAGGGACGTACCCAGCTGGATGCTCACCCGTCCTTGTTCGGCGGCCAGCGAGGGGGGGAAATGAGAAGGAGAAGACCCTCTCAGAAGGCGGCGGGACTTCTCAGAAGCCCTCGCGCCTTCCGATAAGTTTTTCGTGTCCTCGGGGAAGGCGTGGAAAACTTCTCACAAGGCTGGGGGACTTCGAGCCTTCTGAGAAGGCCCGCCCCTTCTCACTTCCCCCCCTCGCTCGCCGCCGACTTCTTCCAGGAGTCGTTGGGAGCGATTTGCAGCCCAACCCCATCTCTGCCCCTGCCCTACCTTGACGACGTCCCCCCCGAGAGGTGGTTGAGGAAGAAGGGCCAGTCCAGAGTGGGCCCAGGTTGCACCAGCGATGCCACAGTACACCCCCATCTCAAAGCAAGGAGCGCCACTTCGAAAGGCCAGCACCTCATGGATTTGCCATGCAGGCGAGAGCCCTGTTTTTGAGTCTAGCTGTCTTGAATCCTTTTAGCGCGTAGTTGGTGAGCGAACGTGTATGATCATTCAGTTCAAGGATGTGTACAGCGAGGTAGTCGTTTTGAACACGGGCCGCCCCATCCGTGTAACTGTTGCAAAGGTTTACAATTCTGTCATGGTTCCCGAGGAAGTCTCAATCGAGGGCCCCATTTTGAAAAGGAACCGTCCTCCATCCTTGTCGCTGATTGCGAACTTATAAGGGGAATGTGGGCAGCGCTGGGGCAAACCACCCGCCCTTCACCCTTGTAGTTGTTGCAAACTTTGCGTGCGAATGTGCGTGGCGCTACGGAGATAGTCCAATTTTGGGAAACGACCTGTGCTCTATCCTTGGAATTGTTGCGACTCCCGAACTTCAGGATTACACGTGGTGAGAGGCGAAACGCCTGGCTTGCCCTAGCGACACGTCTGGGGGTGCGATCGGGAGGAGTTATCTACTAGTCTGGCTGAACTGCCAACCGTCCGTCCAAACTGCGCTCTCGCCTCGGCGCGGGCAGCACACCGCCAGCGTCACTTGCACGCCGTGGCCAGTCTAAGAGCGAATCGTAAGGATTTGTCTGCCGAGACAGGCTATTTTGATTCAAATGGGGACGCTGGACGGTATGGGTGAACCAAACGCAAGATTCACGAAAGACAATATTGCAACAGTGTCCCTGCAGACCAGGCCAGTTTGATTGGGCCAGGAAGACGGAGGAGGAGAGGAGGCGGAGGAGGAGGAGGAGGAGGAGGAGGAGGAGGAGGAGGAAAGAGGAGGAGAGGAGGAGGAGGAGGAGGAGGAGGAGGAGGAGGAGGAGGAGGAGGAAGGAGGAGGAGGAGGAGGAGGAGGAGGAGGAGGAGGAGGAGGAGGAGGAGGGAGGCGGAGGCGGGCGGAGGCGGAGGAGGAGGAGGAGGGAGGAGGAGGGGGAGGAGGAGGAAAAGGAAAAGGAGGAGGAGGAGGAGGAGGAGGAGGCACGGGCCTCGAGTACGAGGCTACCAGGAAGGTGGATGGAAGGAAAGAAGGAGCGGGTCCCAACGGGGTGGCGGCCACTGCAGATCGAAGCCAGGCCGCGCCGTCCGTGGGTGCAGGCGGGCGTGCAAACGCCGCCAGTTTGCCGCGCCCATCTCTGGGGGTTCCGCGGCGTGGCGCATGTAGGTGCTGACATTCGCGCAGGTGTCACGTGCGCTGCGTCCCGAGGGGGGGCCCGACGGAGTGACGCCCCTGGCAGATCGAAGCCAGCCCTTGCCCCCTCCTGGAGGTGCTCGTCGTGCAAGTGTTGCGAGTTTGCAGGCCCCCGCGGTGGTCCAGCCAGTGGCGTCATACGCAAACTCACATCGACCGCTCTTTCGCTGGGTGCTGCAAGGCGGACAGGCGGCTGTCGGGGCTGGATCAAGCCTGTGGGGTTCATCGTCGAGTGGGCTACAAGGACGCCGACAGTTTGGACGGCCTCGGTTTGCACCTGCAACTCATAGTTTCCAAGGCCACAACTTCGGATACCATGATTTTTGTGCGACTGGAGTTTTGTAGTTGTCGCCCCGGGATCGCCTGCGAACTTGACGTCGCGCCTGCGGGCTTGAAGTGCCCTCACAGTACCCGTGCGCAACGTTGTCGGGACGATGCCTACCTTTCAATATGTGCGATTTCTTGCTGTTTGGAGGTATCAGATAGCCCGTCCTTCGTCTTGCGTGCCGCCTCTGTTAACCAATCCCTTCGTCGTCGTCGTCGTCGTGGGTTTGTCATTCCGATTCATTGCGGTCATGGTTCGTCGGTGTGGCCGCGTGCGTTTTTGATTGCGCCGGTAATGTTGTCAGATAGCAGAGCTGTTGGGGTTTTCCCCATGTTGTTTCTGGTGGTTGCGACGTGCGCGCCTGCGTTTCCCAATTGAGGCGACCTCGATGTTTGTTGCGGCCCCTGGAGTAAACATTCACTTGCGTTGTTTTTACGGGAATTCAGCAGACCGACCCCGCGACGGGCAAACCGATGATTTACACAACCGCCACAGAGGCATCGCGCCGCTTTGCGCGCGACGTTTTCGTGCCGAAAATCGGCCGCGTATTCGCGCGTGACGTGTGCGAAACGCCCCAAGGTTCCAAGGTGATGCGCCGGTGACTTGTGTATTTTCGTGTGTGCTTCACAGGGCATGTTTTAGTAAGGGCGGGGAAGGTCTCGTGAACGCTTCCGCGCTCGACATCCCCCGA